GGCAAAAATGGATTATACTCTTTTCGCTATATCCACAAATGAGTTGGTTATCTATTTGTTTTACGCATGCCTTATAGATGGACTACCCTAGATCCCTGCTCCAGGTGGGTATTGGTACGTACAACTAGACTACAGGTAACACAGAACGAGCGCAGCACGAAATTGAATTTTCTGCGAAAACGAAGCGAACTCCACGAGCTTTGGTCTATTACTGGCAGGTCCGCCGAAATGGTAGTCGTGATCAGCAATACATATGCGCTGCTACAAAAAAGCCAGCAGGCAGTGGCTCGCTCTGCGCCGCCGCGATATGCTTTCAACAACAAAAATAATATCTATATCTCCGGAGATACATATACCCACTACTAGGGTGCTTGTTCGGGCGTTTTAGTCTTATGATTGATTTCTGTACGGTTGACTCCACGACATGAGTTATCTAAGCAATATATTTCTACGACACATACTTTTTTGTAATCTTATAAATTATAGGTCTGACAATTTATTTAAATTTGTAGGATACGTGTGTTCTTCGCCCGATTTACAGTACAATGGAGACCTATCTAAAAACTTGTAATGAAAATGTATTATTTAACGAAAAAAGCAAGCTACTTATGCCCTGTTTCGAACATTTTAAAATAAGCGCGCAATTAATAGGACCGAGTGGCAGCACTAAGTTTTGAAGGTGCTTATACATTTTTATATGATGCAAAATAAAATAAGCAAAGTTATTCGATCATTCGTTATTCCTATGGCACATATCCGATGTATAAATCCGATTTTAACAAGAAAGGAAGCAAACTTCGGCAAGCCGAAGTTCATATACCCTTGCAGCTATTGCAAAAATTAAATATTTTTTAAAACATTAAAATTATCAATGTCTAAAAACATTGAAGCTATGATGATTTGCAGCTCAATTATTATATAGTTATTTTATATATTTTTATTATTTCTATGGGAGCTATATGATATACTCGTCCGATTTTGATGAAATTTATACCGTAATTCTGAAATATTTAACCATTACTATATGTCGAAGAACTAAAAGAAAAATTTAAAAACAGCTAAGTTATAATTTTTTTTGTATTTGTTTTGCGATTGTTCCTATGGGAGCTATATGATATAGTCGTCCGATTTTGATGAAATTTAAACCGTAATTCTGAAATATTTAACCATTACTATATGTCGAAGAACTAAAAAAAAATTAAAAAACAGCAAAGTTATAATTTTTTTTATTTATTTTTTCGATTGTTCCTATGGGAGCTATATGCTATAGTCGTCCGATCCGGCTCGTTCCGACTTATATACTACCTGCAATAGAAAGACAACTTTTGGGAAAGTTTCATGCAGATAGTTTTAAAACTGAGAGACTAGTTTGCGTAGAAACGGACGGACAGACGGACATGGCTAGATCAACTCGCCTAGTGATGCTGATCAAGAATATATATACTTTATAGGGTCGGAGATGTCTCCTTCACTGCGTTGCAAACTTCTGACTGAAGTTATAATACCCTCTGCAAGGGTATAATTAAATTAAAATAAAATAATAAAAAATAATAATAAAATTAATAAAAATTGCAAGTCTCAAAGAATATTAAAACAATGTTGAAAAACAGCGAAGTTATAATTTTGTATTTATTTTTTCGATTGTTCCTATGTCCGTATATGTCTAAAAACATTAAAGCTATAATGATTTTCCGCTGGATATTGGAACTCCCGGCAATATTTTATGGGGTCGAGATATTTAAAAACAGTGACTCAATAAGTAAAAAAAAACCACATGTAGTGATTAAAACTTGTTTTAACTTAAAAAAATATAACATTTACCACTTCTAGAGGAACAAATAATATTAGATGCATAAGACTAAGAGCTTTTTCTGAAAAACAATTTTATATTTTTGTTGTTCGATATTGAAACGATCTTCTTCTTGGTTTAAAAGCTTTAAAATAAAACAATAAATACTCAGCTAACAAATTTTAAACTTAATATTCCCCCACAAAACAATCTGAGTTTACGTAGCGCCAACTGTCGAATCCGTTCTTTCGTTATGACTCTCTACTAGGGCTGATTAATATCGATAGTGTGCACTATCGCTAGTTTTGGTTATCTATGGTGGCCACTATCGACACTATCGATAGTAACGAAAATGGTTCTGCCTCAAAAAAATAGAACGAAATATCAATAGAAAAATCAATATTAATTTGTTCTTTTCGACACTGATTAAAATGCAATTTATTACAAATTCATATTTACTTTATATATTGAAAACTTTTTATCATAAAAAGCTTTGTGGTGGTGTGCAGGCCAACTGTCTCACTACGTTTTTTTTTGTAACTTCTTATGCCATCTTTCCACACAGTCCATCCGTTGGAAACGGTTGGAATTTTCAACAAATGTGAAATTCCGATTTCCACAGAGCCTTCTGATTTCAGCTGATCTGAACAGCTGTGGCTCGTCAAAACTTAAACAAAGTCAACAGGTCAACCGTCTTTGTTTACGTGTTCATGACCCACAACTGTTCAGATCACCTGAAATCATAAGGTTGATGGTGGATGTGCTCTGAGGAAACCGGAGTTCCACTTTTTCATAAATCCCAACAGTTTTTCAGGAATGGACAAAAAACCTAAAAACCAAAAAATTAATAATTTGATTACATTGTCTGGGATTTGATGTATGATGTTCCAAGACTCTTACCCCCTAGTCCAATCATTAAAAGAAATGTTCTTGTTTTAAATAAATAGTATTTGTTTTTTTGTTAAATTAATAGTTTTTAATATGGTTTAATAATTTTAGGGCAATTTTCCTGATTCCAGGGAACTTTTTAACAAATTTCGGCATATGCTCGGATGAAATCGCCCTAGATTTAAGAAAAACTGCTCTATTCGTACCTAAAAAAATTATTTTTGCTATTTTTCTAATATTTAGGGTCAATTTTTCTTATTATAAGAAAATTTGCCCTTATTTTATGGGTAATTTCAGTTGTATGCCGATTTTGTAGTAGATTTGTAGTATTAACGAAAATATTTTGTCAGATGCATTACTTTTCAAAAATCTAATGAAATATTTTTGCAGAGGCATTACTTTTTTGACAATCTAATAAACATTTTTATTAGCATTGCTTTTTTCAATGCTATTGAAAATTGACTCAATTAGCACTTAATATTTTTCTTGTAATGATGTGTATTGTTCATTACGAGAGTATCTAATTAGTCACAAAATTGGATATTACTGAAACTCCCAAATAGATCACATTCACATCCGCAAACCCAGTTGCTTACACTCTAGAAAAATGGGATTTTCCGGATAAAAATATGTTTGTTATTCTTCAACAGGCAATAGAGATTAATTATTACTTTGTTTGTCGTGTTTTATTTGCTTAGTCAATTTCAGTCAATTTGCTTAGCATAGCAACAAATTTATGTCTAGTACGAATTGAATTGAAGTTGCTCTAATCCCTTTGCCAATAGCTTAATTGGAGCAAAATATTAAAGCTGGTATAAGCTGTATTCATAAACCATATTTTAAAGTGGTTGTTATGGGAACGTTAATAAGTTGCAAGGAAAATTGTTGATACGCAATTCGTACATTCGTTTCCACCCTTATTGAATATGGCACAAAGAAACGACAGAAAATAATAAGTTTAAAACCCGTGCAGCTATTGCAATAAATTAACTTTATTTAAAACACATAAATCTCGAATTATATGCGTATATGTGTTTGAATTTCACCTTAATTATTTGATCGTTCCTATGGAAGCCATATATAATCATTTTCAGATTTAAAAAAATTAATATCGTGATTCTGAATTATTAAACCATTCCCATGTGTAAAATAGATGAAACAAGCAAACTTCGGAAAACCGAAGCTTATATACCCTTGCAGCTATTGAAGAAATTAAATATTCTTGTAAGCAATAAAATTATTATTTACTTGCGACTGAGACCCTAGTTTGCGTAGAAACGGACGGACGGACAGACGGACGTACATACGACTCTCCTAGTGATGCTAATCAAGAAATTATAATATTATTATAATATAAGATAAGTTTAAATTTTTTCATTAATTGTTTTTTAATACTCCAACAATAGGTACTCGTTAAATTCGAAATTTACATTGAAAGATGATTTAATTTTGCAATAACTTCAAGGGTATATAACTTCGGCTTGCCGAAGTTTGCTTCCCTTCTTGTTTTTAATGAAATGATAACTACACTGCCTCCAAACCATATAGTCGGAGATGAATAAAAAGCCTTTCTAAGTTTCTTCTTCGTCAATAAATAAATTTGTCAATGTAATGTGAAATTTGAAAATTGATTCCAATGTCTTATTTCCTAACCTTACTATTTCAAAAATGTTTTCCTTTAAATCCTTAAAAAAAAATTGGGGTTGTCTAATGATACCGTTACATTGTTTTACTTACCAAATATAAAAAATATATAAATAATTGAAAGATTTTATATGCCATTGCAAATTCCCCATTGAGCGTAATATGCCCTTCCCACAGATGTCCATTCACCAGCCGTCGAACGGATGGTCCATAAGCTTTTGCCATTCCGAAAATTTCTCAATTTGGGATTTTGACGGGCTTATTCATGCGATGTATTTTCGGTGCAACTCTAAGCTCTTCCTCTTCGCATTGAAACTTTGAGCATTCCCTACGAAAACGTATGCTATGGTGACAGAAAAAAATTGAAAAATGTAAGGTTCCGAAGCAAAATGTATTCGAAAGCGCTCTTTGAACAAACTCCTTGTTGTTTTCCGTTATATCGTTTTCCTAAAATGTCCGCTTCAAATTAATATAAAACACCAAAGCTGCTGTCTCGCAGAATGCAATTGATGTGCCACAGCTGCTATCGGATGGTGGATGTGCTTTGTGAGAATCGGAGTTTCACATTTGCCAAAAATCCCAGCTGATTCCCACTGGTGGACTGTGACTGCGTGGGAAGAGGGTATAAGAGTGAAACATCATTTGTCAAAATTAAATCATTTAATTTACACCAATTATTCTACACTATAGATTGGATTTAATGGGCGGAACTATATAATTTACACATAAATATGCATTTTTCTACAACCTCTATTATTTTGTAAGAGATATGTAAATTCGATTTATTATGACCTCCTTTGGATAGAGGGCGAATTACACTTATGTAAATAGTCCGTAATGAAGTTTCCTCCTGCTGGCTCACGTTACGTTCCTAGACCCAAGGTGAATAGAAGCACGAGGCGAAGAACTGCTGTTTTCCTGGAGCCACGTGCGCCGCGGATCCGCCGGCGGCGGAGGGCGTCCCATTGTTGGCGGCCGTCGCATAGTTGTAGCTCATGTGTGCATATGAAGAGACGGCCGGCGAGATCGGGTCAGTCGCAAACACGGACCCGTGGCCCACTCCCAAGTGGTTCGAGTTGGAGCTGCAGGGCGAGGGGCATGGCTCCTGGGGCATGCTATTGTGGCCGCTGCTGCTGGCGGAAGCGGCGAAGTTTGATGCGGGCGCACTGCTCGACGGCAGCGGCGGCGGTGGCAGCGCGTAGGCGGAGAGCACCTCGTATCCCGACCCACTGCAGCTCGCTCCCAGGTTCACCGACTGCGCATTTCCTATGCCTCCTCCCGCAGGACTTCCTCCGTCACTCGCCACGATGTGGTGGTGGGGTGGAGCGATGGGCGGAGGTCGTAGGGTCATGTGGCACGGGTATAGAGAGGGAGGCGTGAGGTCGCCCTGTTGCGATATGGGTGAGGGCGGAGCCAGGGAACCCACGGATGAGTGGTTGAAGCTCGGAATGGGCGTAACCGTTCTGAAAGAAAGAGTTTGTCTATAGATTGTCAGCATTTAAAAGGGTATTACATTTTTCAACTTTTAAAAATATGAACTAAAAAGGATAGATTTACTTTAAATTGTCACAAGGTTACATAACAGATAAAGGTTTATACCCTTGCAGGGAGTATTATAAATGCACTCAGAAGTTTGTAACTCAGATGACATTTCTGACCCTGTAAACTATATACATATATTGTTCCTATGGGAGTTATATAGTCGTCCGATCCGTCTCGTTCCGACTTATATATTACCTGCAATAGAAAGACAACTTTTGGGAAAGTTTTATGCAGATAGCTTTAAAACCGAGAGACAATTTTGCATAGAAGCGGACGGACGGACGGAAAGTCGAACATGGCTTGACCTTCTTTTCTAGTGACTTCTACATAAAGTCTTGATCAAGCCTCTTTGTTTTTCTTTTTCGAACGCACCAAGAAAAACACTTTTTGCAGACACTTATTCCTGTGAGCTGTTGGTATTGAAAGACCGATTCGTTTTTTCTGTTGAGCCAAACACTTGGCTGACCGTTTTTTGCTAAATGTCGGTTATATACGTTCAAGCATCTGGGACAAAAAGCATATTAACACAGACTGCGGTTAGATTACATTATCTAGAAAAAGATTGGCAAAATGGCGCTACTCGTTGTTGCGATACACTATTTTTTTTACAACTAGCGCGGAGAAACCATCATATTTGTGGGAATATTCCATACCATTGGCCAACATTAGTAGAGAAATGTGTAAATTTTAAATTCAATCGCAGGGTTTCAGAATCTAATTGTGTAACTGTCTGGTTCGGTAAGTTCCAGGGAACAAATATGCTTACCCATAAGTATCGCTCATCGACAAGGCCGTGTGGTGCATGTTCGAGTACATCGCACCGAAGCCGCCGCCATTAAAGTTAAGTCGCGGTGAAATAGCAGGAACAAGTGCATGAGCATGGGCTTGGGTGTGGCCATTGCTCTGGTGGTGGTGCGTGCTTTGGTGACTGGGAACCCCCAGGGGACAAGAGGAGCAGGGTCTTCTGCAGTCTTCACTGTGTCGTCCGGCGTCCAAGTCAGAGGAGCACCCGGATCTAATGTGCTGGGTTGGCGTTGGGCTGCCGGTACTCTCAATGGCAGCACCAACCGCTGGGGCACCAGCACTGGTGGACAATGTGTTTGGCGAGGATAAGCCATTAATAGTATCTGAAAGGTAACCAAAACAGAAATACATTTTATAATTATAGTCAAACCCAATATGATAGCGTTTTGTACCCTGCAGAGAGTAATTTCAGTTTGCAACGCCTCTCCGACCCTATAAAGTATATATATTCTTGATCAGTATCACTAGGAGAGTCGATCTAGCCATGTCCGTCTGTCCGTCCGTCCGTTTCTACGCAAACTAGTCTCTCAGTTTAATCCAAAATATAGTAGTGGTTAGGTATTTTAGAATTACGGTTTGAATTTCATTAAAAATGGACGACTATATCAAATAGCTCCGATATTAAAATAAATAAATTTAACAAAAAACTAAACTTTTCTATTTTTTAAATTTTTTAATAAATTCCTTGCGAAATAGTAATAATTTGATAGTTAAGATTTACGATTTTAATTTAATTCAAATCGGCAAAGGAAGGATCGAATAATTGAGCTGAAAGTCATCATAGCTTTAATGTTTTTAAACATATACGCATATAAATCCGAATTTAAGTTTTTTCAAGAATAATTAAAGGGTAATAAACTTCTCAGAATCGGTTGGATTCTAGCCTTCAGCATTATGAAGAGATGGAGGCCAGTATTTTCTTGGGACTCGGTACTTTTTTCCCGTTTATATATGGTATGAAAAGGATTTAATCTTAGTTAATTTTAAAGAATTTTTGTTCTTATTATCGCTTCATTTTAGGGCTGGGCTCCCTCTGGACCCCTCAGCTAGTGGCATTAATGGTATCCTAGTTTAATGCATAAAATCGAAGAAGCATTTTGAAATTTTTGTAACTTTAGTCAGCCGCTTTCATTGGCTTACAAATTTAAATCTATGAAATCCTCCAGAGTTCAAGCCTTGATTTTTCGGTGCAGATGGACTAGAATTACCGGCTGAATGTTGAGGTCAATAACTTGTTAGATTCGTGAATGTTCCATCTTCAAGATTATTGTATTGGAATATGTATTTTTTAAGAATTAATTGTGGTCTCGGAACTTCAGTTTCTTCAATTTATTAAAACTTTGTTGAGCTCTAGCATCTATATTCGGATACCTATCCTTATGAAATGTATGGGAAAGTTGAAAATGATCCATTTCTCGGGAAATAAATCGGTTAAGCAGAACTGGAGATAAAACAAAAAAATAGGCATGAAAGCAACGATGTTCTTAAGACATCAAGGAATAAGTTGAAATTTTTTTTTGCACTTTAACTTATCACTTTTTATTTAAAAACAACTAATTCCGATGTTTGCGGGTCTGAATCCGTCAGCCAAATGCGTGGCGGAAAGTTTCCGTAAGTTTTCTCGAAAGCTAACAAAAATGAAGATAAAATTTTATTCCGTGCAAATCTTTCGAAAGTGAAAATTCGAACAGGGCCGATAAACTACAGATATTGGACCCAAGCTTCAGCGGTTTTGCTATCTTGCCTAAAAAAAACGTGACGAACGCCACCACCCTTTTTTGAATACGGTATTCGGTTAAAGTAGTTCAACCAAAAGGATTTTAACGCGTTTTACTAGGGATGTCTTTACTTTAATTTGATACTATACATATATATTGTAATAAAATATAGTTTATTTTATTTTTTATTTCATTGGTGGCTGGCGTAGTGTTGCCTTCTGAAACAGTACGGAAAACAGGATGGTACTTACTGACTGAGGGATTGGCCGTCGATCCGGACAGCAGGGAGGAACAAGCGCTCATGCTGTTGGGGCTATCTGTCAAGGAAGCAGTTGCTGACGTCGAGGAGGAGGTTCCACTGGCGCCAATGGAATTTGGTGTCCTTCGCTGGTTGCGCAGCTTTTCCTCACGGCGCCACTTTGCTCGGCGGTTGGAAAACCAAACCTGGATTCTCGCCTCTGGTAAGCCTATCTTACCAGCCAAGCGTTCGCGCGCAAAAACATCAGGATAGTGTGTTCGTTCAAACTCTAGAAGCAATGTTTAAGAATTTTGAAGCATTTAGAGTATGTTTAACAAGACAGGCAACAAACTTAGCGTAAGCAAAAATTCTCTTATTTAGATACGGGCGTCCAAGGGTTTGATATTTTCCATTGAACAAAATCTTGTTGGGCCTACGGGTGTATACGACTAGCCATGTTTTTTTTTACCAGAAGTTAAGATCTTGTTGATGTCACAGATATTACAAACTAAACTAAGAACTCAGTACCAATATTAATTGAGCATTACTTTATCCTATTGATGTATGATATTTCTCTTGACTATAGTCGAGATAAGAAAGAATACAGTGCAAACATTGGTTACAAAGTACTTGCTTCTAAAATTGAACTTTGTGGTAGATCACAGTACGGATATTGTCGACCTGCATAAAATATCTATACACAAGTTTGTTTCGCTAAAAACGTAATCTTTTAAAACGATGCCCAGGTTCTTAGGTGATGTTCAGGAAACTTTGGGCAACGATAGAGGGAAGATTTATAAGAGGAATGTCTTTAGTAATCAAAAAACTCAGGAACAGTACGCGTCATACAAAGTAGGTGTTTTAACGAGGTAAGAATAAAGACCTTGAACTCCAAGAATTTCTGATATCAAATTTTGTGTCGGTTATTATTTACTTAAACCAAAAAAATTAAATCAATTTCAGTTAGAAGTTTGCAACGCTATGAAGGAGACATTTTCGCATGCATAAAGTATATATATATATATATATATATATATATATTATATAATATATAATATAATATATAATATAATATAAGATATAATATAAAATTATATAATATAATATATATATATATATATATATATATATATACATATATATATAGCCATTTACGGAAACTAGTGTTTTAGTTTAAAAGCTTTCTACATAAAACTTTCCCGAAAGTTTTATTTGTGTATATATGTATATATGCCGGATCGAGCAGGATCGGACGACTTAATCACATTGCCCACAACGAAACATTTGAGAAAGATTATAACACTGCCGTTTTTCAATTTTATTTTCAAAATATTGTAATCGCTATAGACTTCATAATTGTGATTTTAATTTTATTATAATTATATATATATATATATATATATATATATATATATATATAATTATATAATTATATTATAATAAAATAACAACTTAATCAAAAAAACAATAACTTCACCGAATAAAGCTTCTCTGAGTGCTTATCGGATTAAAGTTGTTGTAAAGAATATTTACATTTTGCAATACCTGCAAGGGTATATAAACTTCGGCTGGCCGAAGTTCTCTTTCTTTCTTATTTATTATTATTCTGATTAATAGCGAACATTAATGTGACTGCATAAGAGTCAGAAACTTTAAAATTAATTCTGATTAATAGCGAACATTAATTTGACTGCATAAGAGTCTGAAACTTTAAAATTACTGTACTGCAATTCGACAATGAAACGATCTACCGCATCATTTAGAATCTATATAAACTCAGAGTGATTTAGCACTAAGTTACCTTAATGGGATTTAAGCCTTAATTTAACCATCGAATTTTTATAATGGATACAAATAGTTAAGCTTATAATTTTTAATTTTAGCCCGCATAGTTAATTGCTTTAAAAAAAACTGGCAAGAAAGGAGGAAAACTTCGGCAAGCCGAAGTTCACATACACTAGCAGCTGTTTAAATATCCTTTACAAAATCTAAATTTCTATTTATTCGCGTATTTGTTTAAAGACATTGAAGTTATGGTGATTTTCAGCTCATTTCCTATGGCAGCTAAACGTATTTTCGGATTTTAATAAAATTAAAAGCGTAACTCCATAGGATTTTTAAAATAAATTCATAAATTTTAATATTACACATTTTTTTTAATTTGTTTTTTTTTCGTATTTTGATTGATTTGGAATATATATACTTTATAGGGTCGGAGTTGTCTCCTTCACTGCGTTGCAAACTTTTGACTGAAATTATCTGCAAGGGTATACAAAGTAAAGATTTCATTCTTTATTGAAACTAAGGACTGTATTTTTTGAAAAAAATTTACCTTTGTATTTCTCGACTAAAGATTATCATATTTTTGGCAGGTTTTGTCAAACTTTCTCCATATTTTCTTACCTTTTTCCAAACTATCAATCTGGTCGTTAGTAAAAGATGTTCGATTGCGCTGCAACTTCCTCTTAAGTATTAGCCGAGCTTGATCATCCTCATTGTTTCCCAAATTTGAAGCCCCACCGTTGGAGTTTTCACCTTCACCGGAGCCAGTTTCATCGGACTGATGACCATCAAGTTCTGCAGAAAAGAGTAGCAAGAATAGCAAACGTGAATTTTTAAAATAAATATGAACGCTGTAGTGGGTTATTAATTTGTAAAGATCGATTTTGTTATGCCATGCGTGGATTCACATGAAGAAATTAGGGGAAAATTACTAATAATAATTGAAATTCAAGTGTTTTTATGAATGTTTAATTTTTGCAGTAGCGGCTAGGGTATACAAGCTTCGGCTTGCGAAGTTATCTTCTTTCTTGTTTTTTATTTAATTTAAGTAGCAAAAAAATAAGTAATTACTCCTGGGTTTTTATATATGTTTTTTAAGTCTAGAGCTCGTAAGGCAGTCGCTGAAGACATTTTTAACAATTTTTTAACAAACCTTATTTGTGCAACCAGAAAAATTGATGTTTTTTGCGCTTAGCTTATTAAAGTCCGATCTTTATTTGCGATTTTCAATTTTTGTTTACATAAGGCGGAAAAAAAAAACAAATTGACTGCCGCGCTAGCATTTTAGAAAATGTTAAGCCAACATAAGGAGATTTTAAATACTGGAAGTTGTCAACCTTTAACCTTTCAGAATTAGTTAGTTTCCTGTATGTATATTTTTCGTTACAGCAGTGTGAAGTGGATATTGACTCTATTTTTAACAAAAAATTGTCCGAAAACTATAGCGAATCTCTTTTTTTATAAAGTCTTAAAGAAAAGGGTTGAAATTACATCTCATATCAGTTCAAAGCACTTTGCCTAGAAGTATGCATCACCGATTATTTGGAGAGAAGGTACTAAGAAACCAACTATAAATATTATGCAATTTCAATAATTTTAATTTAAGTTTGAATAATTTTAATTTTATTGAACCCTCCTCGATGGCGTTCAGCTTAAAACTATGTGCTCTGTTTTTTTAATATCATTTTTTTACAACTGGGTATACATTTTCTAAACTATATGTCGAATTGTAATTTGCCCTGAGGGCGATATAACTTTTTTGTCTGTTTGAGATCAGAGGAACGGAAGTTACAGGGGTTTCTATCCTCCACTTTTGACCCTTTTATGAAAATGTTGCACTTACTCTTTATCTAAAAGCTTCTGATTGGAAGGAGATCAATTCGTGATTCCAATGCTTTGGTTTATTCATAACTCCGACGGAATTGTTGGAATTTTTGTACTATTCTTAAACTCCGTGTGTACAAGTTTTGTTTCTATAAGGAATTGATTTGAATGGGTAGATATTGGAGCAGCTGTTACATCCGCACTAGCGGCCTCATCAAAGGAGAACGCTAATCATTTGTGTGTCAGCCGCGGTCAGCTCGGGCCAAGGTGTGTTCCAGCACACACAGGCCATACCACGTTCGAGTGTAACTGACGTTGACTGTTAGTGGATGCGACAAGGCAAATAGACGCTGATAGCCCAGAGCGAGCCGCGGGACAGACCTTGTCCTGGGTCTCCGCCTCCGTCTCCGTCTCCGCAAAGCACATGTCACTGGCCGGCGAGTTGCAATGTTCTGACAGCGGCAACAACGCTACATTGACAGACGGCGTCAGATGCCGAGCAACAGAGATGAGAAAATGGGAAAATGAGTTAAATGAGGAAAACATGAGTGCAGACCAGCGGGACGGTGTCTGCGACGGGGTCTGGAAACTGGGAACGGCTCTAGTTCGAGCCGGGAGCCGGGCCTGGGCTCAGGGAGGGTGGTGTCAGTGGTGTCAGTGGTGTCAGTGGCGACAGTGTCACATTTAAATGCGTTAAACACAAACTTTGATAAGGTAGAAACTCCAGGAGGAGGATTTGAACACTGCTCTATAAATATGTATTTTTGTAATCTATTTATGCACCCCCTCATCTTTGCCACCGCATCGCATCGCATCGCATCGCACAAATCCAATACAACCCCAACCCGTCCAAATCCTGACCATGAACCCATCTCTAACCACAGCCACCCTCATGGTTTGTCGTTTAATGAAGTGTCATCGCCTGTAAAATGAGTCTGTAAATCGCATTAAAGCAAACTACACGGTTAGGGGTAAACCTGTCAACCACGGCAGTGGTAACGGCAGTGGTTGCCCCACAGCTATACTCGCTCGGAAAAGACGAAACTCCGGAGACCCAGAGACCCGGAGACCCGGAGGAGGAGTCGCGATACCACTGACAGTTCTAGCACACATGTTCCTGGTTAAGCCGAACTCGAGAATCAGTCCTGTTGTCGAAATTCGGCCTCTTTGATTCAGTCAATTTGCTCGTACCACATCGACAACATCGAACTTGAACTCCCGTTTTGTATGCCATTATTGGCTAAATAGACGAAAACCTATAGAAGTAATGTCGTAACGTTACGATTCTCCCCCAATAATAAGTATCTACTATGGGTAACAGTAGGCGTTTTGAAGCAAACATCCGATGAATGATAATTTCCAATTCCCTGGCTTCTATAGTTTCCGATAACTGGACGTTCATATGGACGGAAAGACCGACGGACAGACAAACAGACGAGTATGTATATGTAGATCGAATTGGCTTTGTCTTGTCTTGATCATAAATGTTATATACTTCAGGTCGGAAACGCTTCTTTCTACCTGTTACCTTCTTATCAATGAACGTAATACACCATTTTACTCCCCGAGAACCGGATATAACTGATTGTTCAGGGTAACAAAATTATTGCAGATACAATGTACAATGTAGCGGAAAAACGTCCTCAATGTGAAATGTACAAAATCTTAAAGACCTGGGAAGTTCGAGGCAATCCAAACCAAGTGTATTGCACTCGGTCACGTGCTTGCCGCATTTACGCACGACGCGTCAGCCTTTTTTTTTCGAGCTGCAGACTTTTGTAACTGATAAATAAGAAAATATCAGCGAACGTAAATTTGCAAATGCCAAGCTCGCTCGTGCGTACATAGAGTGAAACACAATGTCGTGGGCTCTGCTCTGATTGAAAATTGAAAATTCGCTTGCAATCGCAAATTAGGGTGCTACGGCTTTCAGATGTTTTAAGTTTTGTCTGAACTTGCTCTGAATGCACTTATAACTTAATGCAACACCAGTAAAATGAACCAAGGCAACGCATTGAATGCGTATATACTTGACGCTATATCGACATTCGACCAAAAACTAGTTGAAACCGTTCAATTTTCCGTTTCGGTTTAAAATTTAAAGTACCTAGTTTTGCTTAGTTTATCTTTTACAAGCTAAAAAGTTTATATACTCTTGCCGATCGTCTTTTTAGAGAAAGTATTATTATTTTAGTCAGAAGTTTGCAACGCAGTGAAGGAAACATTCCCGACCCTATATAGTATAGATATTCTTGATCAGCATCACTAGGAGAGTCGATCTAGCCATGTCCGTCTGTCCGTCCGTCTGTCCGTCCGTCTGTCCGTTCGTCTGTCCGTCCGTCTGTCCGTCCGTTTTTACGCAAACTAGTCTCTCAGTTTTAAAGCTATCTGAATAAAACTTTCCCAAAAGTTGTCTTTCTATTGCAGGTAGTATATAAGTCGGAACGAGACGGATCGGGCGACTATAGCATATAGCTCCCATAGGAACAATCGGAAAAATATAAAATATATAAAATATAAAATCGACGTATAGTAATGGTTAATTAATTCAGAATTTCGGTTTAAATTTCTTCAAAATCGGACGACTTTATCATATAGCTCCCATGGAAACAATAAAAATATATAAACAAATTTTTCTTATTAAAAGTAACTTTTTTATTTTGTAATTTTTTTTAAATTCTTTTTGACTTATTAATAATTTGAAAGTTCAGAATTACGCTTTTAATTTTATTAAAATCGGAAAACGATATCATATAGCTGCCATAGAAACTAGCGAATAATTGAACTGCATATCATCATTGTTTTAATGTTTTTAAACATATACGCAAGTAAATCATAATTTTAATGTTTTCAAGAATATTTAGTTTTTGCAATAGCTGCAAGGGTATATGAACTTCGGCTTGCCAAAGTTTCCTTCCTTTCTTGTTGAATATGCTCTCTGGCGAATTGAAGCCGCTTTTTAACATTTATAATGGACAGCAATGGTTTTTTTTGGGCAATGCGTCGTTTAAAGTGGTTTTTCTGGGCTTTTCACGTGGAATATTTTCCCAGGTTCCATGTTTCTTATAAAATGCACTGGCACTTCTTACTTTGCCACGCAAAAAATGTAAGGTCTTACAAATTTATAGAATACTTATGTTTATTTTCGTAATATTTGCTTTTTTCGGCCGGTTTTGAATTTTTATTTTAAGCCATAGCGGTCAAATTTATTTTGGGAAACGTATTTAATATTCAATATATTAGTTTAGAAAACAACTAGCACAACTTTCCCGAAAAAAACACAAGTTTGATGATTTTAGCTCAAGGTGGCTTGAGTATATGAGCAGAGCGCAATACTCGTTTTTGACATTTAGTCAATTTTTTGAGACCCCGGAATTCCCCGAATTCATTTTTTACTGCGATCAGCTGCTTAAATAACAGAGTTTCAAAATGTAAAAATTTCAGGACGAAATATATGTGTTCAAAAAAGTTACTAAGAAAAGTTTATGGTAGTGGCAGTGCACAGTGGTCGGTCAAAATTTAAATTAATTTAAATGTACCAATTACTAATATAATTGGTCTAGCTATTTGAATTTATTCATCTTTTTGTTTTGCTCTATCTGTCCTCTTCACGAATAGCATCGAAAGAGAGAGCATGATATTCAATGGGTATTTCAGCGTTAGCAACGTGCAAGGGAAGCTTTCCTTAAAAAATGTAAGCTTATAACAAGTTTTAGTGCAATGAAAGTGCTAATAATACAAATAAAGGTATTAACTTCCATTTTACAACAAAAACTTTATGTAGTGTGTGTTGTGTTTTGTGCAAATCAATATTGTATTTAGTACATAATTGTGAGCTTTCTTGGTTTGTCTTTTCTGAGTTTGTTTAGAGTTTTAGTTGTGATGGCATTCTTTGGTACAAACAAATCATTTTTTTTGTGTAATATTCTTAGCATTTTAAGAATATAAGAAGGTTAAGTCAAGTGCCGAAAGTTGCCGAACGTCTTGAAATTATGCGAAAAGGTAACCTAACCTCAATTTTTAAAAAAGACGTGCTTCTGCTGTTTGTTGTACATAGTTTGTTGCCGTTTTTGTGTTTATATTCTTTTCTTTAAAATAATAGCTTATTATTTCCTTAGGAGTGCCAGTTTTCACGTTTGCGTTCTGTTCTGTGTCGTATCAATGAAAGCTATATGATATAGTTCTCCGATTTCAATAGTATTAAAACCGAATCCCGGGAATATTAAACTATTACTAAATTTTAAAGAACTAAACAAAAAGTGTAAAAATCAGAAAGTTATAATTTTTTTTTCTTTTTTTTCCCCCGATTGTTCCTATGAAAGCTATAGGATATAGTTGTACGATCTGGCCAATTCTTGTCCTATGTATTTATAACATTTTCTACATTTTTGGTACAAGTTTCAAAGCGATAACCCCTCTAGAAGTAACATACTTATGGCCGCGGCTCTCATACAAAACGACCACTGTGCAGTGGCTCAAGTCTATGAGCACCACTGTAAGACGTCATTTAAGCTCTGTGTTTTTCCGAATTTACCGAAGTTGTGTGGTTGGGTCTACTTGGTGCGTGTACAGTAGGCACTCCAAATCAAGAACTCACCCTTTTTCAAGTGAAGGTCCTCCGAGGTCCCGGGGCAGCTCCTCAGGTGGCCGCCGCTGGCCAGACCTGCGCCGGCGACGTCGTTCGGCGGACTGAGGGGCTGGGCGAGCGGCGGATTCGACGCATACGCCGCCGAAGAGGCGATGCTGGGCGTCGCCGAGACGGGCAGCTCCCCGCCGCCCAGGGAGGCGGAGTACCAGGATCCGGGCGAGTAGTGGCGGGGCGGCCAGCTCTGCTGCTGCTGCTGGAGCACCTGCTGGCCGCCGTGCACCAGCTGGTTGAGTGGGTGGCCGTGACTGTGACCGTGACCGTGACCGAGACCGTGACTGTGGCTGTGACTGTGGCTGGAGTGGGACCCAAAGTGGCCGGGTGCCTGGCCCACCAGTGGGGCTGCTATCGAGGCGTCCAGCGAACCGGCCGCGTGCTGGGTGTTCAGGAGGCGGAGCTTCTCGTAGATCGACTCCTGCTCGCTGCCCTCGCCGGAGTTGCTCGCGCCGCCGCTCTCCGAGGAGTTCAGGGGCGTGGCAGTCTGCATGAGATCGGCGGAGGGGGAGGTCAGGGTCAGTGGGTGGGCGGTCCTGGGTCCGGTTGAGCCGCTGCCACTGGCTGCCACCTTGGCGCTGGATGTGGATCCACCCGTGGATGTGGATGTGCCCGTGCCCGTGCATGTGGCCGAGCTACTGGCTGCCGTGCTCTGCTGCTCCTTTTGGGCTGCCAGGTTTCGCAGGACGCGGTTAATGGACGATACCTGAAATGGAGATGGTGTGTTGCTTAGGTCTTCTTCTCGAACAGTTCCCAAGTTCGTCCAGTGCGCTAGTCTAGTTTTGGCAAGACATCTCCGATCGGCAATGGCTTTTGCCATCGAAAGGCGAAAAAACATGGCACTTTTGTTTGCTTTGGACTGCAATTTATTCAGTTTCTTATTGTATTAATGCCGAGCCTGCGCTTGACAACGCTTTTCAAACAAATTCAAAAAGAAAGGAAAGAAAATGAGAATAAAAGGAAGCAGAATCAGAATCAGAATCAGAAAAAAAGGAGAGGCAGAGGGAGAATAATCGGGCAAACATATAAATGAGCGAGTGAGCGAGGCAGAACAACAGGGGAAAGTGCAGTTGAGTGGAAAAATTAGGCAGAATGTCCTTTCCAGGGGGTATGCGAACAACACTGGAACTCATTTTTTAAAATGAGCTCCGTCTTTTGCCGAACCAGCCAGCGTATGCCTCTGCTGCAGTCTGGTGACCTCCTCATGGCCATTTTGCCCTCTTCCGGGACAACAAGTGCCGTCGCGAACCGAACATTTAGTAGTTGTCACTCGCCAACAGTGTCCTTTTAGTCGGACCCTCAGAAATGACGATGCACACTGTCCCGTCGAAATGGTCACCCCACTTCGGGCCCGAAAACGACACGAATCCGAATCCGAATCCAAATCCGAATCCGAATGCGAATGAGAATCCGAATCCGAATCCGATTGCCGATGTAAACGTGATTTGGCAGTTCCCCCTCGCACTGGCGCGTGAATTTCAACGCTTAACGGTTTGTGGTGGCGGCGGGCCGTATTTATTTAATATTGTATTTTTTCATACATTTTTCTAGCACTGATTTCCCTTTTAGTCGTTTAATGTGCATAAAAGATTTTCCCTTCCGTCTGAACGAGCACATTTTCCACACAACTGTCGATGGGGGAAGCACAAGGACAAGGACAAGGCAGGCAGAAAGGCAGGCAGAAAGGCAGGCAGGACAACGACATCGGCCATCGGCATGAGCATCGCTGTCACAATTCATTTGGCTCGCTTTTTTGGCATACTTAATAAATAATGTAAAAAAGAACGAAAGGAAAATGTTAATGCCTGAGAAAAGAAAATGGCTGCGCAGAGTTGTCACAAGCGAATCGATTTGGAGCTGATTGCCGAACACTTTTATCCGGGAGAGAAAAACTTTGGACAATCACAACGCAATTTTGCGATGAAAAAATAATATTATCTGCAGCTCCTTTCCAAATGAATGTTTTTTCCAATACTCCGTCTTAAAACACAGTTAAAATATCAGATGCAGTACGAGTCACTTACACTTGGAATATTATCGTTGGTACAAACGTTCTCCTGAAGTAATCTGTCCCTGATTTCCCACGCAAATATGCTCGGGCACTCGCGCTTGTATTGCGAAATTTTGCTAACCACTTCGGCTGTTGCCACACGTGGCTTCGATCCACCAATGGCACGAGGTCGTATGCTTCCAGTTTCGTAGTACCTGAAATAAAGCCATTATTACATGTTAAATATTGTACTTATATGTGGTTTCATGGTTCAAGTCTGACAAGAGAGGAGCAACACGCATGTACATTTTGTTAAATAAACAGCGGATTTAATAATTTAAGTCAAACAGGAAAGGAAGCAACTATTGGACAAATTAAAAATTCTCTAAAACGACTATATTTAGATCGTATGCGTACATGTCTAAAAACAGTAAGGCCAAGATGATTTTTCACTTAGTCAATCGATCGCTCTTGTCGCTAACAATTAAACATGTGAATGTGAAAGTTATAATTTTTCATTATGCCCTTGCAGAGGCTATTATAATTTCAACCAGAAGTTTGCTACGCAGTAAAGGAGACATTTCCGACCCTATATATATTCTATATATTCTTGATCAGCATCACTAGGATAGTCAATGTCCGTCTTTCCCTCCCTCCGTCTGTCCGTCCGTCCGCTTCTACGCAAACTAGTCTCTTAGTTTTTAAGCTATCTGCATGAAACTTTCCCAAAAGTTGTCTTTTTATTGCAGGTTGTACTGAAGTCGGAACGAGCCGGATCGGACGACTATAGTCTATAACTCCCATAGGAACAATCGGAAAATAAATTTAAAAAATTAGAACTTTGTGGTTTGTTAATTTTTTTTTGTAGTTCTTCGACATATTGTAATGGTTAAATAATTCAGAATTACGGTTTAAATTTCATCAAAATCGGACGACTATAGCATATAGCTCCCATAGGAACAATCGGAAAAATAAATGAAAAAATTATAACTTTGCTGTTTTTTAATTTTTTGTTTAGTCCTTCGACATTTAGTAATGGTTAAATATTTTCGATTTACGGTTTAAATTATATCAAAATCGGACGACTATAGCATATAGCTCCCATAGGAACAATCGGAAAAATAAATGAAAAAAATTATAACTTTTCTGTTTTTTAATTTTTTGTTCAGTTCTTCGACATATAGCAATGGTTAAATTTTTCAGAATTATGGTTTAGATTTTATCAAAATCGGACGTCTATATCATATAGCTCCCATAGAAATAATAAAAATATATAAAGTAACTATCAAATAATTGAGCTGCTAATCATCATAGCTTCAATGTTTTAAAACATATACGAAAGTAAATCATAATTTTAATGTTTTCAAAAATGTTAAATTCTTGCAATAGCTGCAAGGGTATATGAACTTCGGCTTGCCGAAGTTTGCTTTCTTTCTTGTTTTTTAATTTTTTTGTTAGTTCTTTGAGATATAGTAATGATTAAATGTTTCAGAATTACGGTTTAAATTTCATCAAAATCGGAGGACTATAGCATATAGTTCCCATAGGAACAATCGTATAGCTGCCATAGGAACTATCGAATAATTAAGCTGCAAATCATTATAGCTTCAATGTTTTTAAACATATACGCAAGTAAATCATAATTTTAATGTTTTCAAGAGTATTTAGTTTTTGAAACAGCTGCAAGGGTATATGAACTTCGGCTTGCCGAAGTTTACTTGCTTTCTGGTTTTCAAATTCTTTTGATATAATAGTAATTTGACTGTTCAGAGTTACGCTTTTAATTCTATTAAAATCGGAAAACGATATGGTATAGGTGTCATAAGAACTATCTTATCATTGAGCTGCAAATCATCATTGCTTCAATGCCTTTAAGAATATTCGCAAGTAAATTATAATTTTAATGTTTTCAATAATATTTAATTTTTGAAATAGCTGCAAGGGTATATGAGCTTCGGCTTGCCGAAGTTTGCTTCCTTTCTTGTTTTGTTCGAGTTCTTGAAATTGAAAAGATAAACAAAATCATCTTTATTACACAATATAGAGCTGGGGAAGGGTAATAAGTTTAGATTACTGACACAGTTTAAATAAGCCCGTGTCCTGTTAAAATACACATGGGGCGAGGTAACGTAAGTGTCCAAAATCCATTCAATGTATTGTAAGCATCAACAACTGATTTCTCAACAATACAAAATAAGCTTACTTCTTTGTCGCCTCAAAAAGCGACAAATGACCAAAGGCCTGGCAGCCTGACACAATATTATGGCCCAGTCTTCCCTGTTATTCCTAGATGGTGGAATTAATTTTCCTAACCGCACGTTTATGGCCGATATTTAACCCTTAGCCCTAAAGTCTGGGCGCGAAAAAATTTGCATTGACACATTGACATGGCGGCCATCGTAGTTTCTGTGAACCAGGGGCGTAGACGAAAGAGAAATGGGGGCTGGGACCTCTAAGCAAAGTCAACAGGTCAACCATCTTTGTTTAAGCTTTGAGGAGCCGCAGCTGTTCAGATCAGCTGTTATCGGAATGATGATGGTGAAAGTTCTCCGCGGAAGTCGGAGTTTGACACTTTTCAAAAATTACAATGGCTTGTCAGGGTTGCACCGGTAAGACATCGGCTAACTATCGCAAAATTTAGTCCCTCAAATATCAACTTCGGACAAACTGGGAACTTTTTGGAACCGCAAAGCCACCTTCAACAGATGGTGGACGGTGGATTCGTCTCTGTGGAAAGGGGCTATTAATTTAGTAGTAATTTGTATACAGATTATATTTAAGTGATTAGTTAAAAGTTCAGATAACCATTTGATCACTAATCCATAGCATTTAATAAATGCTATTTACTATAAATGTCGTCGACATTTTTCTTCTATTCATATATGGATAATATGGATAATCAAACTTTTTTTTATTTATTTTCGTTATTTACCACTATAGCAAATGTATTTTGAAAGCAAACACATTTGAAAACGTCATTTAAAAAGTATAAGAATGGTCTTTTTTAACAAAATATGCTTGAAAAGCATTTTTAAAGCATTTTTTTTAAATCGGTAATAAAACTAAAAAAAAGTTGTTTGGACCTGACTTGTTCATGGTTCTCGAGTGCCGTGAGAGAAATTCCGACTCCAGGGAAAAAAGCTCTCTAACACATCAAAGGATGCCTCAATTTGTGTCACAAATTTCGATTTCAATAGATTGGGTTTTTAGCAAAAATCGCCACTGATGAGACGATAATGGTGGTGCCCTTAAGTGTTCCTAAAAGGCTTTTGTTTGCTTAGCTAGCAAACATGTGATATACCATTTTCACGTGGAGCGGAACTGCCAATTAGTGGATCCAGGACTGAAACCCCTGTCAGGCATTAAATGCAGCGGAAGGTGTTTAAAATTCTGTTGCCTAATTGGACATGTTGAGGTATTTTTACTTATAAGCTTCTACATAAACAAACAGTTTTCTCCTTACGAAGCAGAATACCATAAATAACTAAACTCTTATGTTGATGTGTTGATCCTGATAACACGCCAAGGACGGGAGCAAACGTATTCTGCCAGAAACTTATCTAAGCCAGGCTAAGAATGGACAAAATTGATGTAGAGCTTACTCTAAGAGGCATTTCTCTTTATGATCGACTAAATTACAGCCGTATTCAGAAGCCAGATCAGGAGAAGGGAAGGCAGTTTGCAGCTGAGTGGGCTAGTTTAATACAATATATTCTATGCTTGCGGTTCAAATAAGTTACAGATGCTGAGGAGGTCAATCTGCTTTAACGACAAGACTATCTGGTCTTTAACTTTTTTGGACGGTTGCCTGGCTTCGACAAACTTTTTGTAGTTACAGCTCCCGATAACAGGAGTGAACAAACTTTTGCAACGTGAGATTTCTATACACTAGCAGCTGTAAAAAGTTAAATATTTTATAAAACGAATATATCGCTTTTTTTCCAATTAAAAATTGGAATTGCTTTAAGACGATCTTATGGTTTCTTCATTTTTTTAATAACTACATTTTAATTTTGTCATTTCCAGGAAAAAGTTAAAGACACAGTCAAATTTTGATAAACGATTAAATTAGAGTCCATTCCTTAATGTTGCATTAAGATATAGGACTTTGAAATAGAAAACACACCAACTATTTGTCTGAGCAACATTTTGTTAATTTTGAGTTTAATTGTTATGGCTTCAGTGGATGCTTTTGGACCAAACAAAATATGCTTAAAAACAATGTAGCTATGATGATTGTCAGTAGAAGCTATATTCCTATGGAAGCTATATATGATGTCGTTTTCCGATTTTAATAAACATAAATCCTCGATTGCGGTGCGGCACCGTAGGACAATTTGCCAACTTTGTGGTCTTAAAAATAAAATTATGATAGTGAGAAATGTGATCCTACCTGCCGAGAATTTTGCTCACACATCCGTTGGAAACTTGCAGAATTCGAGAAATATCACATGGCCGTGCTCCAGAGTGGGCCAGCTCGACAATTTTCTGTCGTGTTGAGTCCGGCAGGGGTCTGCCACCGACGAAAACGCCGCCCAACTGGTTTACTCCACTGTGACCTGCAAAATACAATGAGAATAGAGCAAGGAAGCGCACGCTGTTTACGATTGTACTATTTTGAATTATATCATAGAAGTTATAGTTCCCAGGCTCGGTTTATCGGTTTATTGCCACAACTTATCGGCCTCATCGCTGCTCGACTGTGTCTGCCGTCGATGTACACTTCCAAACACACAAGCTTTCGGCAATGAGGCGGATAATTCGGTTTGTCACGCTTTTAAAGACGTCAAAATACATTCATGCATTCATGCATTCATACATTCGGCGACCCAATTCGAGATTCGAGATGGACATGTTGAAGGGACGAACCCCATTTGATAACTTTTTCTGCGTCTTTAAGCCGGGACTAAGCATCTCAATTTGAGTACGCCGGCCAAATTGGGCCTTGTTTAGTCTGAACAATTTGGTATTTGCAAAATTGTCACAAACATGTTGCGACCATGCTACACTCAAAACCACCACCATTCAATAGATATTTTTAACTTGTTTTTTGTTGCTTGATTTATATATTTATATTTAAGACTTGCAATTTCAAAATAAAAGGTTTACCATTTAAGACCCAACTTTAAAACAGTAACTAATAATAATGAATTAAAAGAAGAATACATTTTGTCAGAAAATCGTATACAATTTCTCCGCTTTAAAATGAAAAGAAAACGTTTTCTGTGTGTATTTATCTGAAGCACGAAGAAGAGCAGAGGGAAAAAGCCAAAAGGCATAAAAAGGGCACTCTCGGTGTTCAGGTCAAGCATGAGAATGGAAGGGTTTTATATAAATTTCCGAGTATTGGGACTTATTGAAATAAAATCCCAAAATCTTCGTATCAATTTACTGCTTTATTGGTAAAGAAGTCAGCGAGGCAAAAGCAATACCTAGATACACGCATAACAGATTCAGCTCCTGACAAAGGGCTAATCCGGGTGACTTTTCTGTTTTCAGAATCGCTTCGGAATGCCTCTGATGATAGCTGAGCGTTTTTTATCTTCAATTAGATTGATATGTCTCCTCAGAGAACCTTTAGATTAATAGAGTGCATCCTAAACGCCACATTACATTTGTCAGACAGTCAAGTCGAGCTACCCAGATATCCAAATATCCAAATATCCAAATATCCAAATACAGATCCATCCCGGGAGGCAACTGTTTAGCATTTGCAGGCACTTCGAAATGGAATTGCATGTCGAAAATTCGATTTGCCAATGTTACGGGCACGGGCACACAATTTCCCAAAAACATCTTGCCGGTGGGATTAATAATGTAATTGCAGCACAAATCTGTCGGCGAGCAAAACAATGGCTTAGCCATAGGGTACTGGAGCTGGACCCTCTAAGGGACTGGTCCGTCCATTCAGGGGCAGGACAGACTTTCCCTCGTCTCTAAAACGGGGTGGGTCAACAAAGACTGGGTACTGGGTACTGGGTACTGGATACTGGGTAGAATGCTGGTTCCCGGCAGCCGCTAAAGAGGCTCATTTGGCATTTTAGAGTGCATTGTGTGTGTTTGTATTTACTCGACTTCGGCTTTCAGTGCCAATAATTGTTTCCATTTGTAACGACATGACACGAAACGGTCGTCAACAACGAACAGTGAACAACGACAGTGAACAACGAACACACACTTCAAGATCATTAAAGGTGGAAAATTATTGTGTTGATTCACGAGCACAACAATAGATTGACCTGGCAGAGAGTACTTAACAGCTCGACTGTGTGGGGATGAGTATGTGATTGGAAATGGGATTTGAGGGATGCCGATGCCGATGCCGATGCCTATAACCTACTCCGCAAATCGTGAAATATTGTTCGGCTCATCGCCGTCTTGAAAGTCTATGCCGATTGCGATTGTCCCCGATGATCAGCTCTTCCCATTGTGCGACTATAATTGGCAGCATGTGCGAGATTTCGAGTCAGCCACTGAACAATGCCCTGCTGATCCCATTGAGCCGTATGCTTTGGGTTTACCCAGGCATTGAGCTGTTTTAACGCCAATAACGAATTTTCATGACACATATTTGGCAAGGGACAACAGTTATGAAATGTCTCTATTTTTTGGGTTCGTGGCAGCAGATCTTTTGAGTCCTGACACGACAAATCGTTTTCGGCTGTGAAAAACTAGCATGTTCAAGGCAATTGTATGTTTGTTTCTGGTACTCTTTAAACTTAAGGTTGGCTGAAATCAAAAGAAAATCACATTTACTCCTCAATAAAGTATATATGTTCAAATCTGTCTGGGGGAAAAAAAGGTCATCAAATTTTGCATAGCTGAAATTGTGTATAGCGTGATTTGAAAGTAAATAAGTGCATCTCGAAAATAACGAAAATACCGAAAGTATTAAAAAATGAGTATTAATTCAATACTAAATATAATTTTTAGTTTATTGAGTCTTAAGCTGTAGTGTACGTCTCAAAACCAATAGTTTAACACTCATGTAACAACACTAAAGTTTTTATGACATTGACTACAATTGAGGCATAGCTCTCTAAATCAATAATTACAAATAAATCTTGGTATATTGACGTATCTTTTATATGTACATTTAATTGATTCATAAATATGCCTGGCTGATAGCTCTGAATTGAATAGTTCCCGAGATCCTCGACCTACGAGCATTGCATGTAGACCATGTAAAAGCTATGTTCCTAAGTGGAAGTATCCTACGGATTTGAATGCAAAATATTTCGACAACGCAACTAAACAAAATACATCTTTTAAATCATTTTCGTTTTACCAGTGGGTCAAAGTGTAATGTGCAAGTTTGGCAAAAAACGAACGCTGGCTCTAACTACTTCGGTGTAGGTTGGTGGATAGATAGTGGGGAAATCGTTTCGGAATTGGCTGTGATGGGGAGACGGAGGGGCTATCTGAAAACGGGGTAAGTGAAAAGGGTGGCTTTGCTTTGGCTTTACTCTGTAAGACGTACATTCATCATCAGTCAAATGGTAGTAGGTCGTGGCGAAGTACGACGATGTCGAATGTGGCTGTGACGCTGGGCCGGCTTCCACGGCTTCCATTGTAGGGGAAGGCTTTCCGGCAATACCGCCTAGTCCGCTACCACCAGCGGTACCCAAACAGGGTAAATTTCTCATTGCAATCACATTGTCTATAAGAAAAGAGCAGAGCAAAGGGGTAAGATTTGTATCAAGTAGTCACTTTCAGCGTAGTTTTTCTTGTATTTGTATTTTGTATTTTGTTAGTAGCATAGACTTATAAGGACTTCAGAAATGCCTGAATACTTTACTAAGCATTACGGATATATTTATGGAAACGTCGTTAATTGTTTAACAAACTCTATACTGTGGACTTAAAATGACTCTAGCCCTAAAACCAAATAAAATCGCAGAACTATGTATATCCAACAATTTATTTGAGAGTCCAAAGGGCGTCTATCCACTTGTTACATCTCGTTATATCCTTTATGAGGATTTTACAGGTTTAGGTGTAAAGCACTTAAATGTTTAAATGTTCTTAATCTGTCAGTTCAAACTTTGGACAGCTTAGATTCAAGGCTTTCTGCATAAAATTTTCAGTATAGGCATAGACTTTTTGTCGCGGCATTGTTAGAATATATTTATAGAAAATATACCTACACATCACATAATTTAATAACAAAGCCAATCCATTTTGGTGATTGTCCTACCTCGACAGACACTATAGTCGAGTTCCGCAATTACTAGATACCAACAGAAAAATAAACTTGCGCTGCGTAAGAACTACCAAGTCTACCAAATCTATTGCCTTTATAGTTTCCGAGTTCTCGACGTTCAAACGGAGTTAAGGACGGACAGACAGACGGAAATAGCTATTGATCCTGATCAAGAACATAAATATATATACTTTATAGGTTTTGGGAACGTGTCTTTCTAACTGTTCCACAATTTGAAACAAATATAACATAACCTTTTACACTACAACTGAAAGGCATAACTATGAAAAGTAAAAAAATTAAAACGGCAACGGGAAATCTTCAATTTTGTTACATTTTTAATGTATTTTTCTAACCGTTTTAAGCGACTATATCTATGCGTATTAATTTATAAACAACGATCTTATTTATTTTTATCATCCCATTTCTCATTTTACAGGTATATTGTATTGCCGTCCGATACGTTAGAAAGAAGACTGTTGGGAAAAATTTATCCAGACAGTTTGAAAACAACACACGAACACAAATTTAAACTTTTTTTTTAAGTAAATGGGTGCTCTTGAGTAAAAGTCCCTTACAAACTTATGTGTTCTCAGCTAAGGGTTCCGCGGTATACCTAAGAACACGAAAATTTAATGTTTCACGACATTTTTGATTGTGTAGCTCTTATAATAAGAGATAGCTACATGTTTTTTTAGCTGATAAACACTCTTAACAATAAGAAAAATAAGTTACCAGACGTCAAAGTTAAAATTTTAAAGCATCTCTAAAAAATATATCTTCAACGGAATCAACAATTTCTCTTGGAATCTACAGTCCTCTGCGTGTTAAAATTTGGGTTTAAACAGTATTTATTACTATACTTAGTTAGATTTTTTATAGCATTAAAGCAAACATTTTTGGGTTTATCTACAACTATTTTATCTCCAATTTTAAGAAAGTCATTGAACCCCTTAACTTATCTGATGCTTTTTAAGCCTAGAGACGTCGAAAGACACGTTTAAAAGTTATTCAAAAATACCTTTTTCTTATATTTCCAAATGCTAAATTTTGAGCCTCTGTTTATCGTTTTCAAAAAATGTTTGGAACCTCGAATAATTTTTGATGTGTTGGGCCGGTTGTTTCAAATCAGCTCGAAAAACTAAATTTTTTACACCCATGGCATCTAGTAAAGCTACAGACAAGTGCTATATGTCGTTAAAAAGGTGTTGTGCAATGCTAATCATGCTGCCATAACATAGTTGGTTCAAAAACAAATGTTTTGAAATTATAACAAAAACTTTGCCTTACAATTTCTTTTTGACTTTTTAATATAGCCCTTGAGATTCCTCAACTTTTGTTATACAGAACATGGCGACTTCGAAAGTTATTTATCAACAATACGGCAACTTTTCCCAGTTCAGGGCTGTCTTCCGTATGCACCACCAATTTGGCTACGAAAATATTTAACTTTTTAAAAGTCAAATTTTAAAAATGTTATTAAATTTAACAAAATTACATGAAGTAGTGTACTATGCAAAAAAGTGAGCAAGACATAAGCAAATATCTTTTAAAAAAACATAGTAATGAACACTTTAAGAACACATTACAACTTCGCTACTTATATATTTTTTTAAATATTCTTCAAGCTAAAGTAATAGTCAAATATTTCAGAACTACGGGTTTTGTTTTTTAATAGAAAAAAAATAGAATAATAGAAAAAAAACAAATAAAAAAATTATAACTTGCAACAGAAAACATAAATTGCCAATTACTTTTAAAATTAAAGCTCGAAAATTGTTTGTGCCTAAAAACGCTTCCTTCTACCTGTTATATACTTTCAACGAATACAATAACGCTTTTATAGGGTTTGTAGGACATCGATAGTGCGCACTACCGATAGTTTTGGATACCGATGGTGACCACTATCGATACTATCGATAGTATCGAAAATTGTTTTGCCTTTTAACAAAATTGAACGAAATATCAATAAAAACAATTTAAAATTCGCTGATTAACAAAGTAAATTATCACGAATTCATATTTACATAAACTTTAAAACGGTATTCTCATATAACGCTTCGCTTTATTTTAAAATTCTTAGCCTACTTTGATACTCCTCGAACTTTTCGAAAATGCTGTGTGTCCTGGAAGTTGAAAATTCTAGTTCCTAGCAATATACCGTAATATACTACTAATATTCTTTAAGTACCATAAATAACATTTATTTTTCTAAACCGATCGTATCGATAGTATCGATAGTGCTATCGATTGTTTTACCAAATTATAACTTCGCTGTTTGCAATAGATTTGAATATTTTAAATTTTATAAAAATTTGGCAACGATATCATAAAAGCATAAAAATCAGAATACTGTTGTTTTAAAAATATTTATTTTTGGAGCAGCTGCAAGGCTTTATGCGTTTCGTCTTGCCGAAGTTTGCTTCCTTTCTTTTTAGCTAAGCTCCTATAACGTAGTTTGTTAAAATAAAATTAGTCAGTTTCTACGCAAACTACTCACTCAGTGTTAAAGCTATCTGCAAAGTTATAAGTATTTTGCATTTCGCGATTGTTCCTAAGGCAGCTATTTTATATAGTCTCCCGATCCGACTTATATACTAGATAGAAAAACAACTTTTGGGATTGTTTTATGCTGACAAACGGATGGACAGACGGGCAGAAGGACAGATCGACTTTCCGAGTGATGCTGATCAAGAATATATATAATTTTTGGGGTCGGAAATGTCTCCTGAAACAAAACTTCATTTTGCAGTCTATCATTTACTAAAATCATTTATTGAATAATATTAAATGACTATTAGATTCTCGTTACTCAGGTAACGAATATCAAAGTCAAAACGCCTCTAGAAAATAGTCCTTCTTTTTATCGAAATTTTCTGTTATATATCTGTTATTTGCACGTCATATTCCAAATCACTAGCTTTAATAGTTTTGATTCTCAGCGTTTATACGGATGGACGGACAAAAAGATCGACTCTACGTTTGAACCTGAACCAAACTATGTTTACTTTATGGGGTCGAAAACACATCCATTACATACTTTTGAACGAAAGGTTTATTTAAATCAATATCGTTAATATAATTTGCAGCTGTTGCAAAAATGAAGTAATCCTTACCACAACTATATTTTGATTTGTAATTATATATGCTTAGAATCAGTGAGGCAATAATGATTTTCTGCTGAAATAATCGATCGTTTATATGGCAGATATATAATATAGTCTTCCAATGTTAATAAATTTCAAAAATTACTTCTGAAATATTAATCCATTGCAATGTCAAAAGTTTGCAAAGCAGTGAGAGGCATATATAAAATGTTGAATGGAAAATCGTGACGAAATTCAACAAACAACATTTTAAAAATCAAAATTTATGACGAAAAAGGACAAATACGCCTATTTAAAGTTTCCTCGTTTGGCAAGCAGCATGGAAATGTAATTTTATAGGATGCTGAAATACTTTGTTGCAGTGTGCTGAATAAATAATTTAAAGAAAAGTAGTTGCGCAGAATTACCGACTTAAGAAAAGTGTTGCAAATCATAACACGTTCAGTTTGAAAAAAAATAAGGTAAATTGATATGATCGGAAATGAGACATGTCTTTAAAAGACCAACTTAAATGGCTTTTCTGACCGTAATTGACCAAAGCAATGCAATCGGCTTCAGGTTTGAAATTTTAGCCTTTTAATCTGGAGCTGGGAAGTCGAACAATTAAAAACATAGATTTATGTATCCCTATCAAATCGTACATTTACCTCAAGCTATTAACGAGTACACTTAATTATTGGACAAATATGATCTCGGTAGTCAAAACCAAATATCGCGAACCCTTTTTGAAAATAAAGCTATCTGGTAATCAATGCGCATCACAATAAAATAAGTTTATCTTTAGCAGAATGTTTCAATTTCCTAAAAATTACCATCTTTCGAACATGATAGTTTTGTTCAAAAAATAATATTCCTTCTTGTAGCGCCACTTAATCGTCGGGTGGGAGCTATTGAAATCTTTCGCAAAGCTCGAACTATACATACAGATCTTGCAAAGACGAGCGAAAGTGGACGCTTACCCTTGTGAGCCATGTCCTCCAAGGACGGTAGACGCTCTATTAAGCTTCCCGCTGACCAAGGGGGCACTACGGTGCCTATGGCCGCCGGAGTTGGTTGCAGCGTGAACATGACTGCGTTCCCGGGCGCAGCGGATGAGTTGCGGAGGACTCCGCGATCGCCGTGGTATCTGCGGTCGACTATATCGATTTAGATTTCCGAACCGGCACAATGCTAATCGCGATAGATTTTGGCTCTCTTTGTGCAAGCTTTGTACAGGGGACTCTGCCGTGCTCTGCCGAAACCACGCTGCGCGAACCCTTGCAGGGTGGACCGAGCTTTGAAAGTGAATGTGTGCAGATGGTGACGGTGGAAATGGCGTCCTGTGGAGATCAGAAATCTATTGTTGGTGGCGCCATGGGGACTTCAGAGTCACGCATATGAGAACACAAATTAAACTGAGCAGCGCTTTTGTTTTAGTTCACTTGTTCATTTTCCGGAAACCACTTTCGATTGCACACAACACACACACACACAATTATCATTATTTCAATCGCCTAAAGTGCTGAAGTGCTGAAGTGCTGAAGTGTTGCAGTATTGGAGTACGTAATATTCCCGATGAGTACCGATTGCCAGTATCGATTCGATAGCAATTTGAGTCGATATGGCACTTGCACGGCGAACAACAAACGCTACACTTCCCGTCACGGCGGCAAAACTGCATTCACCTTTGGAGCGCGAGTCGCAATGGTAAAGTCACGACCTGCCTGCTCGGATCCGTTCCAGAAACCGACTAGGCCGACCCTCGTGCAGGCCAGCTCGCGTCCCGCGTGGCACAGACCGTGATTGAGGCCAAGGAAGCGTCTGTGATTGGCCAGCGTCGGCGCGACCGGCGCACTCACCACCATTTGCCACTGGGAAGCGCTGTGGTTGGCCCGCGGCCGGGCACACCAGTCGTCGCACTCGCACCCGTACTCGGCCGATGGGAGTGAGGAGAGGCGAGGAGGCGAGGAGGCGAGGAGGCGAGAAGGCGTTGTGCGGAACGTTGCAGTTTCACAGCTGCGTTTTAATACAGCAAACATAACTTGGCGGTGGAACCTTTAAACTAAAGAGGGGCAGCTAGGAACCCAAATAAGTATAGTTTTATTCCAAAACGAGGTACAATAAGCCCGTGGAATTACTTTTGACAACAGACTACGAAGTACAAAGCACAGTGAGTTTCTTTGGCCCACGCAGAGCGGCGGCAGAGTTGCACACCCAAGCATGCCGCAGCACCGTTTAAAGCCAGCTTAGGACGCCTCGAGTCCGCACCCACAACCACTTACACACATGTTGCACTTAATCTGAATTCGAATTCGAATTCGAATTCGCATTCGCATTCTCCGAGTGAGGAAACGAGTCGCCCAATGGAATTGTATCATTCCGATACAATAAGCGCTTTACATTTCCGTTAACTACCCGCACGTTTCCGCTTCAGCAGCGAAAGCAGGCAGTGGGCGTGGGCCTGGGTGTGGGCGTGGGCGAGGGCGAGGGCGTTTGGTTGTTTAGCAAAATGTCGACAAGCCTAAACACGGTAACGGTAACACCCACCAGCCGGCCTCACATGTGGGAGGCTGGAGTGCTGAAAAGTTGGTCCTGCTTCTACGCCAGCACCGGCGTATGCGCTGCCACTGGACGGAAAAGGACGGCAAGTGTGCTGGCGGCAAGGCGGAAGTTTGCCCATTTCGAAACGCTTAGAGAAATATTAAAAAACTAGCGCATACCAGCACGCGAAACTGCAGGGGATGAAGTCGATTTAAATGTAAGGCTCAAAGTTTAAAAACAATATCCTGGTCAATGTATCTGTTCGCAACACAAATTGGGTTCTTTTTCAGTTCTCCAATGCAAATATTAGTTCGTTTATGAGCAACATCGATTTAATAGAATGATTGCCCCACAGATGGAACGATTGATAATCGGCACTTGCTTCATTTTAATAATTACACATTTTTAAACGTAAAAGTTATTACAATCAAGCATTCCTGAGTAGAAAACAACAGGTTAAATTCTTGAAAGAAATTAAATAAAAAATACTCTTTCTTTTGAGCTGACTTCTGCAAACACAAATATTGTACACTTTAAAAAATACATATTACTTAATTAAAAGAAAAAATTATATTTACATTTTACTCTTTTTCTAGTTTTAAATGTTGTTTTTATTAATTCGCAAGGAAAGCAGTCCCAGTAATAAGTATATGGAAAAGTGAATAGGGTATACGGTATTCTCGCTCAGTGTAGACTTGTTTGCTCTTTCTCCCAATGGTCTTATGTCTTATGGCTTTATACATTTGGTGTTTGTTTGCAAACTTGACCAATTTGAATTAAACCAATAGCGGAAGTTTAAGTACCCACCATGTTTAATGATCGCACTACGGGACTGTACCTCTTAAGACACACATATGTAAGTTTTGATTAATAGTCAGCCCAATCGATGGATCCGAAACGGAACAGCGCCATCTAAATGGCGAAACAAACAGCGAGTTGTTTTGCTCTAGGATATAGACGTCTGATCGGCCAAAAATACGATTTGCAAATTTGTATGTCAATAGTTTTTATAACTCGCAAACTGCATCGAACCATACTTATAAGGCATATCTGTAAAGGCGGGGTTTAAAAACTTTATCTGCTTGCATATGTACATATATAAAAAGGCGATTGCTTGCAAACTCGCGCCATAAAATCAAACGTATATTCATCAGGGGTCGCAAATTTCTTCTTAGTTGCGTTTCAAAATTTTGATCAATATATTTTTACCCTCTGTAGGGGTATATTTCGGAATCCGTTGACTTGTCATTTTCAAGACTGTTTAGCTTAAGCAGCAAAAGTATAATGGACACAATGCGGTGATATACAAACAAGCAACGAAGCTAAGTAGAAACTTTCAAATTCAAATTTTAAGGTTTTTGAGCAATGATAAGTGATTAGTTTAGCCAAAAGGATTTTAAGTAGCAGCTTACACTTGAGGTAAATCATATATCTCTTGTTTAAAATTTAAAAATCGTAACATGAAAGCAGTTTTGTAAGCGAAGTAAAGCGAAATCATTTCATTTCATCCGATTGCCAGATGCCTTTATTATATTTAAGATTTAATATGCACAGATTACACCGTAAAATGCTTATAACGAAGCTGGGGGAACAATGCCTTTATTGGGCTACATGGTGGCGTAGCACATGAAAGCGAATCCCGGACAGGAAGCAGCCTTGCAATCATCACATTATCTCCTCCCTGCTGCTCAGCCAGGATCGCAGCCATCGAGCCACCGACCCACCGACCCACCGAGCCACCAGCCATCGAGTCATCGCCACGTGGCACGTGCCAGCGACACGGCACATGCTCGTGCAGAGGAAAGTTTTCCGCTTCGGCTTATACCGCTTATACCGCTCCAGCTGCAGACTCGGCCCGCCTCCCACGGCCCGGACTTATATTAAAAAGAGTGGATAACATCTTAGCAGTAGGGTTTATGCGTTTGACGGTGGAGATTCTGGCTCCGAACCTGTGTGCATTTGTATACCCTTGCAGGCGGTGTTATATATATATTACATCTTGATCAGTATCTCTAGGAGAGCCGATCTAGCCATGCATAAGTCGGAAAGAGCCGGATCGGACGACTATAGCATACAGCTTCCATAGGAACAATCGCTGTTTTTAATCTTTTTTAGTTCTTTCACATACAGTAATAGTTAAAGATTTCAGAATTACGGTTTGAATTCCATCAAAATCGGACGACTATAACTTTTTGTAATTTTTTTTAAATTCTTTTTTACAGTTTTATTAAAATTGGAAAACGATATCATCGAAATGTTGAGCTGCAAACATCATAGCTTCGATCTTAAACATATACGCAAGTAAATCATAAATTTAAGGCTTTCAAGAATATTTAATTTTTGCAAAAGCTGCAAGGGTATATGAACTTCGGCCTGCCGAAGTTTGCTTCCTTTCTTGTTATAAACATTTGTTTGCAACGAGCTAAATAAATAATATTCACAAGGTCACATACAATTCATGTTACAAATTTAACACTTCATGAAAAAGGGTTCTTTTGCGATGTCTTTTTAAGGCTTACATCTTACATATCTGTAACTAAACCTGTGTACTCACTTTCTTACTATGATGTTCATGCCTAAAAAGTCCATCAGATCGAATCTCAAAGTTCCTCGTTGTTGGTAAAACTCTGGCAGCAGGATCGTCACTAAAAATTAGCACGAATTTGAATTTTTAATTTGCATACCAACAAAAATAAATGGATTCATAAATAAATCATATTTCTTTCAAACAAGACTTCATGTGTACAACTAACATAGCTATATTTTGATTGACTTTTACTACCACAGCTATCGTCCAATCCGCCAGTTTTCCACTTACATTATATCATCCGGATAGCTTTTAAAGTAAGATATTTATTTGGGTAGAAGCCGATGGACAAAGTTCATGTACTTTTGCAGCTATTGCAAAAATGAAATATTCTTGAAAACATTAAAATTTTGATTTGTTTGTGTATATGCTTAAAAAAATTGAAGCTAGCTGTGGTAGCTACGTATATGATACCGTTTTCTGATTCTGAACTATCAAATTTTTACTACGTCAAAAGGAATTTTAAAAAAATGTAATTATACCTATGTTAATATTTTGATTGTTTCAATGGGAGCTATATGATAAAGTCGTAAGATTTTAATGAAATTTGAACAGTAATTCTGAAGTGTTTAACCATTTACTATGTCTCGAATAACTAAAAAAAATTTAAAAACAGCACAGCTATAATTTTTTTTTCATTTTTTTTCCGATTGTCGTCCGATTTGACTCGTTCCGACTTTTATATACTAAAAAAAAAAAAATATATATAGAACGCTCTCAAACCGAAAGAAACCGAGCAGCCAAATTGGTTCTCTCGTTAAATGGTGACAGTGAATACATATGCATATAATACACACATACACATAAAAGATGGTGAGCGTAACGGAAAAACCGGCCAATGAGTTTCTGGAGGATGGGCTCCAACCTGATCAGACTCCTTCCTTAACTACAATGTTGGCAAAATTATAATGTGTACATATAAAATATTAAAATTATATAAATTCTATTTTTCGGCAAGTTGTTGAGTTTAAAGCTTATTGCTTTTGTTGATGATCCATCTATGATAATATGATATAGTCGTCCGATTTCAATGAAACTAGACCATAGTTCTGAAATAT